TTTTTTTGATGAAAAGTTATTTGGATGTGGAATATTCCCTGGTTATTGCCAGGAAGTCAGAGTACAACTGTTAAATGTAACAGACCCTTTGTGCTTGTTAAACACTGCAACCTAAGAAAAAGGTGGTATTCTGAATACTCCCTATGATACATGTTTGTACGGGGTCAGTCTGTATTATATAAGAAAACTTCCCTAGAAAATGGGTAGAATTAGCAAATCATAGCTTTAGTAAAGTTGGGTTTTCTTTGTGGTCAACTTCCCAGGTTTATAATGGGAAGTTCTGAGTCATAGGGCCTGAGTGAAGTAGGTGCCTGTTGATTATTTCCACTGCTAAGTGATAGTAGTGAGGTTAGCTTGGGAAAACAATCTCAGCTACAAAAAAATTGTTCAGGTCTACCAATGTCTACAAACAAATGACTTGACAATTGGGGAAATCGGAGCTCCACTAATAGGAAGAAAGCTTTGTTTAGCCCAAACCCTTGTGATGACAATTATGTCAAAATTTGGTTGCCTGGAGAAGTTCATCAGTGTTGTATATGATGAAAAGAAGGTGATTCTCTCACCTTAGATCCTATCTGTCTCCACTTCCTTCAACAGATCCTTATCTATCAGGTAGCTGGGTAATATATTGGATAAGGTGCTGGATTTTTTATCAGGAAAACTGAAGTTCATATCATGCCTCAGACACAAATTGTGTAATCCTGGACAAGTCACTTAATTTCTCTCAGCCTCAGTTTCCTTTTCTATAAAACAGAAATAATAATAGTATCTACCTCACATGACTGTAATGAGGATCAAATAAGATAAGAATGTAAAGTGCTCATCAAACCTTAAACTCTATATAAATGTTAGCTGTTACTAACTCAACAAAGCCACACTGAAGTGTGATGTTACATCAGGTATGAATGATCTTAAAGGCATGCCAACAGAGAGGGTAAGTTCTGGCAGATCATATCCATCTTGGAAATGCTTCAGTCCAATGAAAAGCTGTATATTTGTTGTCTGTGTACCAATCTGACTAAAGCATCACCAGAGATATGACTATTAGCACATTAGTAGTGTTCAGTTTTAGGTGCCATATTTTAGGAAAGGCATGAATAAGCTTGAGTGTCCAGAATAGGAGAGTCAGAAAAGTGAAAGACCTTTCAAGGACTCTGGCAAGAATCTTGTCAGCAATAACTAAGAGAAAGACCCTCTGCCCCCTGCCCTGCCCCTTCATGAATTTCTCAGGACAATTTATTTCCTTTACCTTTGTAGCGATGGACAGTGGAGACATCTTCGAACTCCTGGGGGATAACCTCCTCTTGCCATATAACCCAGAAAATTTCAGTCTGCTTTTATATGAGCAGTGGACCCCCTGCTTTGTAAATCTCAGCTGGAATAGAATCAGCACCAGGTACTTTGCCACGCAAGAGGAACCTAATGGCATTCAAAACTTCTTCAGTTGCAAGTTCAGTTAGAAAGGGATTGACTTCAACCTGTTGTATATGGTCAATGGCTTCAGCATTGATTGATGATGGTCTGTTGAAAATATTATGGAAATGTTCAGCCCATCTTTCCAGGATCATGTCCTTATCACTAATCAGGGTGCCTCCATCAGCACAGAGTAGTTGAGATACACCATAGGTTTTTGGCTCATAAATAGCCACCAGGGCATCATAAAAGTGTTTTGGTTTGTTACTATCAGCATAAAACTGAATTTCTTCTTACTTCTTACTGAACCCAAGAGTCCTGCATTCCTTTAAGCTTCGCTTGCACTTTAATTTTGATGAAGTTAAGCACTGCCTTCTTAGAGATAGATGAGCTATCATGCTGGTAAACTTTGTGGAGTTCTTGTTTCTTATTTAGCAGCTTCTGAATTTTCCCATCATTCATCAAACCAGTCTTGATGTTTGTAAGTGTTCTGGCCCAGATGAATAAATGCAGTGCAGTACACCAAATCTCTGAAAGCTGCCCACTCCTCTTCTGCTCCACTGTTGGCAACCATGCATTGGCTTAGTTTTCCCTCCAAGTTAACAATGAACTGTTCCCGCTTGTAGGAGTGCTCTAATATGTTGATATTAAGTCTTCTGGTAGTCATCTTGCTTTTGTTGAATGTGAATATTTAATTGGAGAGGATATGTCTATGATCAGTCCAGCACTCTGCACCACACACTGCCTTTATCACTCTCACATCCTATCTCTTCCTCTTACAATGACATAGTCTATTAAATGCCAATGTTTGCTGCAAGATGTGTTTAGGTAAACAGAAGACAGTGTTGGTGATGAGAAGGTCATGAGATGCACAAATCTTCAGTAGTAAGTGACTGTTGCTGTTGCTGTTTCCAACTGTATTCCTCCCAAGGACTCCCTGCCATGTCTGGTAGTCTGTGCCTACTCTTTTTTTTTCCAGTTTAAGTAAAATTTTTTTTATTTTTAACATGTGTTTTTAAAACTTTGAGCTACAAATTTTCTCCCTTCCTCCCTCCCCTCTCACCCACTTTGAAAAGGCACACATCTCGATACAGGTTATAGATGTGTAGTCATGCAAAACACTCCATAGTAGTCCTCTTGTGAAGAACTAAGTATATTTCCCTTCATCCTATCCTACCCCCCATTTATTCTATTCTCTCTTTTGACCCTGTCCCTCCTCAGAAGTGTTTGCTTTTGATTATCTCCTCCCTCAATCTGCCCTCCCCTCTACCAACCCCCTGCTCTCTTGTCCCCTTTCCCTCTTATTTTCCTGTAGGGTAAGATAGATTTCCATACCCCATTGTGTATGTTATTCCCTCCTTAAGCCAAATCCTATGAGAATAAGATTCATTCATTCCCTCTCACCTTCCCCCATTTCCCCTCCACTGTAAAAGCCTTTTCTTGTCTGTTTCATGTGAGATATTTTACCTCATTCTACTTCTCCCTTTCTCCTTCTCCCAGTATAATCTTCTCCTACCCCTTAATTTTATTTTCCAGATATCACCCCTTCATCTTCAATTCATCCTGTGCCCTCTATCTATCTATACAAACATATAATTTTTTCCGTCCCACTACCCTAACATTGACAAGGGACTCATGAGTGACAAATATCATCTTTCCCTGCAGGAATGTAAACAGTTCAATCTTAATAAGTCTCTTATGATTTCTCTTTGCTGTTTACCTCTTCCATGTTTCACTTGAGTCTTATATTTGAAGGTCAAATTTTCTATTCAGCTCTGGTCTTTTCCACAGGAATGCTTGAAAGTCCCCTATTTCATTGAATGACTATTTTTTTACCCTGAAGGATTATACTCAGTTTTGCTGCATAGGTGATTCTCTTCCTACTCTTACATTAAAGTCACCCAGAATTATAAACTTGTCTACTTTCAGCACTTTGATGATGAAGGTCTCCAGGTCTTTGTAAAATTTTTCTTTGACCTCAAGGTTTGTCATGGTGGAATCATACATACTAATTATGGTGGCATGGCACATTCCTGCAATTGGCAATCACATTTTCATAAGCCTGTCATTCACTCCTTTTGGGAGGCATACAACCTTGTCCATTAGGTTAATTTTGATTGCAAAATCTATACCAGCTTCATGGTGCTCCCCTTTACTATGACCACTTTAGAAGTATGTATATTCAGCTCTGACTTTGGTAAGCTGGCCTTCATTTGCTTGCCTTGTTTGAATTCTGCCTTGAGTGAACTCAGGGCTGCTATTTGGATGTAATACCTGCTGAATTGTCTTGCAACAAAAGTTGTTTGTCTTCCAGGTCTACTGGATTTTGTGTTGTCCATAAGCATGTGCACATTCCATGTACTGATGGTGAGCAGAATCATCTTTGCAAAAGTTTTTGTACACTTTTTGTGGATTTCCCTGGGAGGCAGCAGATTCCCCCTTTGATCACTGGGCGTGTTTTACATTCAAGCATGGATTATGCTCCATAGTGGCTGAGATCACTCTGACCTTTGGGATTTTGAGATTCTGTAAACTTGTCTCTAGCTGGCTGCCCCCATGCCTGGAACACTCTCCCTCCTTCTCTTCTCCTTCTGGCTTCCCTGGCTTCCTTTAAGTTCCAACTAAAATTCTGTCTTTTATAGGAAGCCTTTCCAAACCCCTCTTAATTCTGGTGCTTTCCTTCTGTTAATTATTTCCTATTTATCCTGTCTATAGCTTTTTTTGTACATATTTATTTGCCTGTTGCCTGACACTGGGAAGAACTGTCTCAAAATTTTTTTCTTCTTCTAGTTCTTAAGGTGGTTAAAGCCTTGTGGGTTCTGGCAATGAAGGCATATGTAGGATAATGGAAGTGATAATAGAGAGGGGATGGATATGAAATAAATTCTGAAAGAGAAGTTGACAGGACTTGGAGAGATAGGATGTGAGAGTGATAAAAAAAGACTCTAGGTTTTCTTATAATGAAGGTGACTTGGAAATTAGCAATGCCATCAACAAATATGTGAAAATTGGGAGAAGAGAGTTACTTGAGGATAAATTTCTTCCTGTATTATTTCTTTGGCTACTGTGGATGTTGCCAAAATCCAGAAGGCTTGGTTGAGTAGTGGAACCATAGAGCAGGAAGGCAGCAGCTATCACTAATCCACCTAATGAGGGCACCAGACTCTGAGGCTTCCTATACCCAGACTATAAGAGCTGAACCCGACCAGGCTTCTGGGTGTGTGTTTCTAAACTGGCTCTCATATTTCAGAGCTGATTGGGAAGCCAGAAGGGAGACTGAGGGAAACCAAAGAACCAGGTGAGATCTCTTTGTGGCAGAGCAGTGAAACTCTGGGGATTTGGTTAATCAGGTTTTCCTGGGTTGTGTGTCTCTTGGAGGAAAGACTTATTTAATAGGCTTCACTGTAAGCTGTTAACAGTATTAAAGAACAGCATATACTAAAAGTTTTGGCTTGACGTGTTGATAACACTGTGCACAGGGTCAGCAGTTGTATAAGCCAGGACTCAAGCCCATTCTGCTAAGACTCTCCTCAGTGGTGGAGAATGATTTCTCCGTCCTTCATGTGGGGTTGGTGAAAATCTGAGAGAAGAAAGAGCTTATCCTTCGGCTTTCACCTTTGAAAGAGGAATTCTAGATTTTTGTCAGGAAAAAAAATCCCTCTAGAGGTACAGAAAGACTCTGGGAAGAAGCTCATGTGTAGAGAGGAGCTAGCCCCTTGATCATGTCCCTAGCCCCAGTATGCCACATTAAAGATTTTGGGGAATTCCCCCTTGGGTGAGATCTGGGACTCTCTCAGTAAGAGAGCTCATTCACTCTTTATGTTGTCTGGCATGTTCTCATTTGTTTAAGTTTTCTGATTTCTGTTTGCTGTCAGCTTGAATAAATGGGTTTAGTTGTGTGTGATGGTTGTGGTGGAACTGGCATTTGGTGGGAAGGGAGTCAAGCCTTTAGATATATAGCTTGGGGCTCCATTAAAAAGATAATAGTCAGATGAAAGACTTAGCTATTCTGATCAATATAATGATCCAAGACAGTTCTGAAAGACTTGTGATAAAAAATGCTTATCTACCTCCAGAGAGAGAACTAGTCGAGTCAGTGCAGATTGAAGCATAATTTTTTTCACTTTTTAAATTTTTCCTATTTTATTTATTTTATTTGTAACATGGCTAATATGGAAATATGTTTAGCATGATTTCACATATATAATTGACATCACATTTCTTTCCTTCTTAAAGAGTGGGGGAGGGATGGGAGGGAGAGAATTTGGAAGTAAAAAAACAATTTTTTTTTAGCTAGGCAATGAGGTCAAGTGACTTGCCCAGAGTCACATAGCTAGTAAGTGTCAAGTGTCTGAGGCTGGATTTGAACTCAGGTCCTCCTGACTCCAGGGCTGGTGCTCTATCCACTGTGCCACTTAGCCCCTAAAATTTTTTTTAAAAGAGTGTTAAAAATAAATAATAATAAATTTATTTTATAGAAGATGGTCAGGAATAAAACTTGAACATGAAAATTATTTCCCATAGATTAGTAATAATTTTTGATAATCCATATTTTTTCCATCTACATGTAAAGATAGTTTTCAATATTCATTTTTTATAAGATTTTTGAGTTTCAAATTTTTTTCTCTGTCCCTCCACCCACTCTCACCTCCCCAAGACAGCAAGCAATCTGACAAAGGCTATACATGTACAATCATATTAAACATACTTCCACATTGGTCATGTTGTGAAAGAAGAATCAGGACGAAAGGGAAAAACCACGAGAAAGGAAAAACAAAAAAGAGAAAATAGTATGCTTTGATCTGCATTCAGACACCATCTGTTCTTTCTCTGGGTGTGATAGCATTTCCCAAAATGGGTCTGTTGAGATCATCTTGGATCATTGTGCTGCTGAGAAGAGCTAAGTCAATCATAGTTGATCATCTCACAGTATTGCTGTTACCGTGCACAATGTTCTCCTGGTTCTGCTTCTTTCACTTTTTGCATCAGTTTGTACAAGCCTTTCCGGTTTTTTCTGAAATCTGCCTGATCATCATTTCTTATAGCACAATAATATTACATTACATTCATATACCACAGCTTGTTGAGCCATTCCCCAATTGATGGGCATCCCCTCAATTTCCAATATTTTGCCACCACAAAAAGGGCTGGTATATTTTTGCACATGTATGTCCTTTTCCTTTTTTGATGATCTCTTTGGAATACAGACCTAGTAGTGGTATTGCTGAATCTTGTGTATCTATGGATTAGCAATATTTATGGGAGACAGCTATCATTCTAGCCTGGGGCTTCCTGTCTGAGGACAGTAGAATGGTCAGCCCTCTGGTCCCAGTCTCTGGCTCTCTGCCTAGTAGAAATCAAAGTCTTCCTGGAGAGGAATGGTTCAAGGAGACTATAGAAATGTCTGTTCATGCCTCCCTATGAGTCACTTCTAGACAGACTCAGATGGACACAGATAATCTTCATGGACAACCCACACACACGCTGTAGCTGTGTCATTGACAGTACCTCTGAGGGAGAGATGAAGTGACTTGCCTGGGGTCATGTGATGTCTAAGGAGGGATCTCAACTTGGCTTGTTGTTGTTGTTGTTTACTTGTCCCTTGATGTTTGTCTAGATGTCACATTTCAAACACCAGGGCAGAGGTGCGATGAGTTCTTGTGAGTATGACAATAGTCATTTCTAGGTTAGATATTTTAAGGTCACTCTCTCCTAATGTCTTCAAGTCACCATAATTGCAATTAAGTGATGTCACCAGAAATTTCTTTGATAGTTAAGGACTACAATTCTTGTTTTAGCTTTAAAATATAGTAATGATAATATTTTCTAAAGAATAAAAATGGTCAATTAAAGAAAAATCAGATGATTTAAAATATGTCTCATGTCTAAAAACAAGTAAAATGTAATATTGTTTTTAAGTGTTCTAAAGTAAATATGAGCATAAAGAAGAAAAATAAATATTTTCTTATTATCTTATAGAAAGTAGTAATTTCTCTGGAAAGTGAGAACAAATTTCTTCAGGAACAATTGAAAGATGCTTTACAGGTAAAGGATAGCATGGCTCTTTGATGTAGTTTGCAAATTAAGGAATTGCTTATAAAGGACTTTTTAATCAGCATATATTTTGCATGAAAAACAGGAAGATTTTATTCTGTTATTTATTTATTTATTTATGGCAATTGGGGTTAAGTGACTTGCCCGGGGTCACACAGCTAGTAAGTGTCAAGTGTTTGGTCTGAGGCTGAATCTGAACTCAGGTTCTTCTTACTCTACTGTGCCACCTAGCTGCCCCTATTCTGTTACTTAATGACTATGTTTTTGAAAATTATGTGGTTTTTGTATTAATATATAATTAATATATTATATTAATATATAATTATATAATGATCTCTTTTTTTTTCAGCATCATTTAATTTTCCTTACCACTTTTCCTTTTTTGATAAAATTGATTTCAATTCTTTGAGTGTAAATCTTTCCTCTTTCACCTATGGACTTTCCATTTCAAAGGAATTATTTGCAGGTCTGGTAATAAATAAACATTATTATTTACTTGGGGAACATGTCAGTTATAATAATGACAGAGGCAAAATAGTCTTATCTACTATCCTGGCAAATTCATCAAATGCACTGTAACAAATGTTTCATGTTAGTGCTAGTAGACTGTAGGGGACAAGCTCCAGGAACCAATTTCTGGGCTTCTTCTCTTTGTTTTCATTCTTCCATTTGCTTAAATATTGAGATAGAAAATAAAATAAATTAAAAAAAAGTACTTTCAGATAGCTCTTAGGTAGTGGCCATATTTTCAATGCAAATGTGCACTTCTAAAATACAAATTTGAAGTGGATGGGCATGGTGAGGTTGATAGAGTGGAGGAACTGAACAAAAACCTTGCTAATCATTGTTAATTATTTTTTTTCACAGGAAGTTGAAAAAGCCAAGAAAGATCTTGAAGCATCACATTCTGAAATACAGAAAGGAAGTGGAAATGATAATGAAAGCATAGGTTCTAAAAAAAGCAAGAAAGGTAAAAAAGGGAAAGGAGAGCCAAAAAAAGACAAAAAAGCAAAAACAACAAAATCATCACAGGTACAGGAAAAAGTGTGTTTTCATATTATTGCATACTTTATTCTTATTTATTCTGTTTGATCTTTTGTGCACCTTTTTTTTACCCTCATCACTGCCTATTTTCCTGTAGGAATACCAACTTTCAAGTATCTGCAGGCCAATGAAATAATTTAAGAACTACAGGTTGCCTGAGCTCAGGTGATCCTCTAAATCAGGATTCTCCAAACTTTTTGATCACATTAGTAAAGTATTTTTGAACATACACTCAATGGGTATATGTAATTATCAATTATACGCATGTACTATTGTACTAATAATGACATAAAGTAAAACTCAGACAAAAATTAAGAGGATGAGATAAAAATGAGGTAATATTTGATCCCCAAATCAATAGGTAGCCACTGGAGTTTATTGAGTAGGGGGATAACATGGTTATACCTGCACTTGAAACTTGGAGACCAATGAGGAGGTCACTGTTTAGGTGAGAGGTGATGGGAGCTTGATAGGGTGGTAGTTATGTGAGAGGTGAGCATGGGATGTATGTGAAAGAAGTGGAGCTAGAAATGACATGATTTGACAACTGGTTGGATATTTGGATGTGGGGTGAGAGAAAATGAAGAATCCAGATGACACTAAGGTTGTGAAAACCTGGGGGACAAGAAGGATGATGTTGACCTCAACAGTAATAGGGAAGTTTGGAAGATGAGTAGGTTTGGGAGACCAAGGGGAAGGCTGCAGAATGAAAGTAATGATATCTATGATTCAGATCACAATTCATCCGTGCTTGTTCTTTGTGACTCACTCTGTCTCATCCAGAATAGAAAGGGGGAGGCAGGGCTCTTACTTAGGTCATCACCGTAGAGTTCAGAGCCCACCCTCCAAGACATGCCTATTGCAGCCACAAGATGGGCAAAATTTTCCCTATGATGCCTCCTAGGTTTCTGTGGGTAGGAGCTCAGGTTATATTGACTATGTGGGTCTGGCACTAGGCTTAAAAGAGGCAAGATTAGTAGTTTGCACAGTAGAGTAAGGGAGAGGAATGTTGGGGTATAAGGAGAGATATAGTTGTATTGTTGATAAGTTTCATGACTGGCTTTTGGATCCCTATTGGATATTTTATCAAAAGTGGGATGGGACATTTCTCCCCATAATTACATATACCTTGAAGTGATACCACAGTTGGGGGTTGGGGGTGGGGGTGTGGCATCCCATTCTTTGGAGACCACTGCTCTAGACAAACTAAAATTTGGGTCTTAAAAAGAAATAGGACAAAACCTTCATCTTTTATATTTGAATTAAGGATGGACTTCGAGAAGAGTGCATTCCTTCCATTCTAATATATATAATCAGGCCTAATGGAATTCAAGAGCGTTTCTTAATAGTGCAGAGATGTTCATATAATTATTTCACAATATGCTTGTTTTTGACAGTGTAGGCATCAGAGTAGATCACATCCTATCTATAACTTAATAGATGAGTCTTAATTGCATGACAGCAAAGGAGATAATAGACCTTCCTGTTTTCTGAGAACTAGCTAGTATCAGAGATGGGATTTGAACCTCAGTCTTTATTTTGCCAGGGTGCTAATAACAATATAGAAGAGAAAATAGAAAAAGAAAAAAGCAAATTGTAGGGAATAGCAAGAAAGACAAAGACGTATCACAAAACTGCAGAGCCCACGTACATGGTGCCAGGAAAGAGAAGTAGGGTCATCTTCCAATATTTCTTTCATCAGAGTAAGGCCCTGTACGTGCTGATAGGTCAAAGCTGGAAAAGGACTCATAGTCAGGGCTTAACAAATTTGCTTTTGTAGTCCCTGGGAATAACCTTTAACTCACATGGTTGAAGTCTCAGAGAGGGCTACCTTAGGTAGGGGACTCCTTAGAGGACTCTATGGGTCTGGAGTTCATGATATGTTAGCCTTTAAGTTAACAAGAAAACAGAATTAGCTCCTGTTAATTACTTCCTATCTATGCCAGTTCTTGCCTTGCTACACATAGAATTTTTGCTGGATGTCACCAGACGCAGCTTCACCAGGCATGCTAGCTTTTCTAGGCTTTAAGCTTATGGCTTCGGCTGAAGTCTTTGGATATGTCTTACTCATGATTGAACTACAATGTTCTTTCAGTTCAAAAGCCTATTCAAAATCCAGAGTTTGAACAGAGGGGCAGAGCCAAGATGGCAGAGTAGAGGGAGCATTCAAATTCTCCCAACATTCTCCTTCAAACAACTTTAAAATAATGCATCAAATTTAATTCTAGAGCAGCATAGCAAGCAAAAGGTCAGGGTGAGGCATTTTTCCAGCCCAGGACAACTTATGAGGTAAGAAGAAAAGGTCTGTAGCACAGAGGTAGGTGCTGACCAGGAGCAACAGTACAGTGGTAACACACACTATGGGCCCTGGAGATGGCAGTGGCAGTAGCTACAGTACCAGGAGCTCTCTCTGCTCAGAGACAGTAAGGGGGTCAGAAGGAGATCATCTGGGATACCCATGCCAACACTGGGTACATTACTGGGCACCATTTGGCAACTGTATTGCCCATTATCCAGTTCTGAGTTGCAGTTCCAGGGCAGAGAGGAGCACTTGCAGTCTCAAGGGAGCAGGGACCCTATTTCCTGGTCACTGTTTCAGGGAGGAGAGAGGAGCCCTAGCATTTGCAGTTGCAAGGGAGTGGAGGCCCTTCCTGAGTAAGGACCAGACTAAGACCAGGAAAACAGTGAGCATAGCTGTCCTTGGATCACACCAATATATATATATATATATATATATATATATATGAAAACAACTATGGTGACAGGGAAGCTCAAGACTCAAACTCAGAAGAAGAGAACAATGTGAAAACATCTACAAGTAAAGCTTCAAAGAAAAATGCAAATTGGACACAAGCCCAACAAGAATTCCTGGAAGAGCTAAAGAAAGAACAAAAAAATGATTCTAAAAATCAAAGAAGAATGGTAGAGGAAAAATTGGGAAAAGAAATGAGAGCAATGTAATAAAATTATGAAAAGAGAATTAACAGCTTGGTAAAAGAGGCACAAAAATACTAAAGAAAACAATGCCTTGAAAAACAGAATTGGCCAAATGGAAAAAGAGGTACAAAACCTCACTAAAGAAAATAATTCCTTAAATATGGGCAAGTGGAAGCTAATGACTCTGTGAAACATCAAGAAACAATAAAACAAAGTCAAAAGGATGAAAAAAAGGATGAAAATGTGAAATATCTCATTGGGAAACAACTAACCTAGAAAAAAGATCAAGGATAGATAATTTAAGGATTATTGTTCTACTTGAAAACCATGATATAAAAAAAGAGCCTAAATGTCATATTTCAAGAAGTTATCAAAGAAAACTGCCCTGATATCTTAGAACTAGAAGGCAAAATAGAAACTGAAAGAACCCACCAAATACCTCCTGAAAGAGATCTCAAAATGTAAAGTCCCATGAATATTGCAGCCAAATTCTGGAGCTTCCAGGAGAAGATTTTGAAAGCAGCCAGAAATAAATCATTCAAATACCGTGGAGCTATTCTCAAAACATCCTTGAGAGCATTCCTGTTTATGAATATTTGGTTCCTAGAGGGGTGGCCAGTGCATCCTGGGAGCAAATACCATAAACAGTCCTTCAACATCTAGCTAGGAATAAGATGAACATGAATAAGAGTTAGGGTCAAATTGCAGGCATACTGAGCAAGGTCAGAATGTCTTTTTGAATTCATTCATCATAGCTGGAGAAGAAAATGGCAACCCATTCCAGAATCTTTGTCAAGAAAACCCCAAATGGAATCATGAAGAGTTGGACATGCCTGAACAAAAACATCAAGGAAATCAATGAAAAAAAATGTTAAGGAAGGAAGCCTAATATATATGTATACATACATATGTGTAAAATAGTGGATTTCAAACTATATTACAAAGTGTTACTCATCAAAACAATCTAGTACTAAGATAGAGTAGTTGAGTAGTGGGATGTATTAGGTATACAGTATTCCAAAGAAAATTACCATAGTAACCAGTAGTTTGATAAACCAAGTAGATCCAAAGTTTTGGGGCAAGGACTCATTATTTGACAAAAACTGCTAGGAAAACTGTAAAGTAATTTACAGAAACTAGGCATAGACCAACATCTCACACTGTCTACCAAGATAAGGTCAAAATGATTTAGATATAAAAGATGACATCAAAAGCAAATTAGGGGAGCATGGGAAAAATTACCTGTCAGATCTGAATAAGAGAAGAGTTTATGACCAAACAAGAAATAGAGAGCATCAAGGGAGGTAAAATGGGTCATTTTGATTATACGAAACTAAAAAAATTTTTGCGCAGACAAGCAATTAGAAGAAAAGCAAGAAACTAGGGAAAATTTTTTTTTACAGCAAGTAAAGGCCTTATTTCTCAAATATATGGGGAACTGAGCCAAATTGATAAAAATAAGACTCATTCCCCAAATGATGAATGGTCAAAGGGTATACATAGGCAGTTTTTAAAAGAAGAAATCAAAGTTATCATTAGTCATATGAAAAGTGCTCTAAATCACTAATTATGAAGAGGCTTTTAAAAGGCTATTTTAGGAAAGCAGTCATCCTTAGATACAGCACCATCAATAATACTGGGGTGTGGGTTGGGAGAGAAACTTTCACATTTTTTCCCTGCTCTTATTAAGTTACCTGTCTCGTTCTTTTAAGAACCCTGGCTATAAGGCCTGTCATTTCCAGTAAGAGATACCTCAGAAGCCAAGATATTTGGAGCAAATAGTAGAGACACTCACAATAGTTAGTGCCCTCAGATTCATCAATCTTTTATTTGAACTAAACTTTCTGGGCCAGGGGCTTGGGCCTCTCCATCAGAGACCTCATCCTAGTGTTCTTTATACCTCCTAATTGTAATCCTTGAAACCTATTGCCCAGGTACTGCAAAACAACTCCAAGGATTGGATTTCCAGTTCCAAACCACCTCTGTTCTCCTTCATAAATTTGGCTGGTCTGTGAAAAGTCAAAGAGACAAAAATAAGCCTGAGGGAAAAG